CATGGGGCTCCATCCCATGACCCCAAGATCATGACCTGAGCTGAACTCAAGAGCTGGTCACTTAACTGACTGAGCCACCCAGGCGCCCCTTGCCACTCTTACTTTTGGTCATAAGATTTCCCAAATTTAAAAAAACAGAACATTAAATAGATTTTAATCTGCTGTTAAAATGAGAGTAGTACTCTCACTTTTGTAATTAAGTGAATAATGGCTTTAGATGTTGAATAGAAATGGAATCAGAATACATAGCATGATCTATTTCACTCAACAAATTATTATTGAGCGAAGTGCTGGGGTGGGATATAAAGATGAAATGAATAAATTAGTCCATATAACAAGGACTCCAAGCAGTAATGAATCCTAACTTCCTAGACAAAACAAAAAGAGGAATTTTAGCTCTCTCACTAATGCTTATACTGAAAAACTAACAGTATTTTACGTGTTGTAGGGGTAACTATTTGTTATATAAAGAAAATAGTTGCAACAGGAGTTGAACTGTAAGAACTCACAGTTTGGCTTTTTATTCAAGAATATGCCCCCCAACCTTTTTGTCCTTTTCACCACAATGTCACTGCTTCAATTCTTTCCCTGGAATATTGTAACAGCTTGTTAACGGACATCTCTGCCTCCAGCTTCTGGAAGCGACCTGTCCTCTCATTGCTACCAGAATGGCTCTTCTAGAACACAAATCTGACCTGTGACTCTACTAATGAAAGTCCATTCAATGGCTCTCATTGCTTTTAGGACAAAGACCCCGATCTTTAGAACAGTCTAAAAGGGGTGATGTGCACTTCCTGTGTTACTTGCCCAGCCTTTCCTCTTTCTATTCCTCTCTTTACACTCTGCAATCTAGTTGTTTAAACATTTTTTTAGGTCCTCAACACATTTTTTTTTTTTAAATCTTGGGCCTCCACTCCTCTGTTTCCACTGCTAGCTAGAATTTTTCCTCTATCTCCCCATTCTTCTCGTTTCAGCTTAGATGTCACTTCCTTTGGAAGCCTCTTCTGACCTCCACCTTCCATCCTCCAAACTAGATTATGGTCCCTTCTGTATTTTATACCTTCAAAGCTAAAATTCTCTATTTGTCTATATGCTCCCCAAACTAAACTCTAAAGGGAGAAGCTCCATCAATTACGCCAGTGACTAGAATTCAGCTGTGACTTGACAGAACTTGAATGAATGGATGGATGGCTGAAGAAAATCAGCCTATCAGCTGACTTACATGCTGTGACCTACAGTGTAGCCTGGGTTGTGTTATTCTTGCCTCTACCCTAGTTTTTCCCTGCATAGTTTAGGATTACAATTTAACCAACCATTGTTCTGACCCAGAGTTCCAAAGTGACTATAGTATAGTTTCCTATGTAGTTTTACAAGATGAAGAGGCCATCCATAAAGTATGGGAAATACTTTTTAAATGCTTCACAGAAACAACTGGAAGAGACATTCTGAAAGTTTTGTTTTTAAGCATCAAATTCTTACTCTCTAGACCAGAGTAATTCCTGTACCTCAACCACAGCACTGAGACAGCTTTTGAAGTGTTCTCTTTATATGATGTCACAAGTAGAAAGGGTGGAATGAAAGGACAGAGGAGGCCTGGCTGACCTTTCACCCCAACAGGTGTGCTCAAGGGCAGCACCTCTCCTGGATTCCCATATTTGTATCAGCAATATAGAGAACAGCCAGACCCAGTTTACACTTTGTGAAGTCACAAGAGACTGAAGTATAATCCAGATAGCAATATATTAATTTATAATAAAAATGTAAAGATGAAATAGCTTGTATCTCATGTTCTCTTCCTATTGTAAAACTGCATAGGAAGCTAAGCTATAATCTAAAATGGGCTCGCCAAGCTTGAAATCAGTGGGAGGGGGAGTTAGGTGGGTGGTTATGATGGTGAAAAGCCTAATTAAGCATTATAGTCATGCCAAGTAGACTGAACTCTTTGTTTTTAAAAATTTTTTTTAAAGATTTTATTTATTTGACAGGGAGAGAAAGATAGCAAGAGAGAGCACAAGCAGGGGGAGCAGCAGTGGGAGAGGGAGAAACAGGCTCCCCGCTGAGCAAGGAGCCCGATGTGGGGCTCCATCCCAGGACCCTGGGATCATGACCTGAGCCGAAGGCAGATGCTTAACCAGCTGAGCCCCCCAGGTGCCCCTGTTTTTTAAAATTTAAAAAGTAAAGCTTGCTTCTGTTTCAGTTTTATGTTAAGTCACACACAAAAAAAGCGAGGAGTTTACAAAAAAAAAAAAAAAAGCTTCTGCCTTTTATAACCAAGTACCTTGGATTAGTTGCAAGCTTGGTATTTGCTGCTTATGAGAGCTGGCTGGGCCCCAGGAGTTCAGAAGCTCTAAAAAGGACACTACTTCTTAGCTAAGGAGAAACAGCCGGCATGCAGGAGTCAGAAAGAGGCAGAGCCCTAGGCAGGTGGGGGGCAGAGCAAGGTGGTAGGTGAGCTGGACCTGGAATCAAGCCAGAGATAGTCACAGGAGTCACTTGTTACCCATCCCCAAGAGCAGAAACGGACAGGATCACAGGGTGGGAGGGCCCTCAAGGGTCACCTAGTTCAACCTCTCACATTAGGAATCACCTGCTCAAAGACATAACACAAGTTTGTGGCCCAGTTGGAATGAGACCCCATTTCAAAGCTCTCATCATATACAGCACGGCTTCTTTCCTATTTCCTATCAGGATCCGGAAGCCAAAGTCCAGGGTCTCAAATGAAGCTTTGAAGAAAGCCTGAAGGAGAATGGGAGAGTACAGGGGAAACGTGTGAAGGCAATATGGCTCTAAATGGCCGTAACAGCTGGCTCTACTGGAAGAGCTCCATGACTTCTCCCTCTAGACTCAGATATCAAGAGAACTAAGTCACTTAATCCTCTGGACTTCACTTTTCTCATGAATAAAATGTATCTGAGAATAATTATAGCTGGTTCAAAGTTACCAGGAATATAAAATGAAATAATGCATGTAAAAGAACATTAAATAAAATTGGTTATTTTTTCCTACTCATTGCGAGCAAGAAACTATCTCATGTTACTCTGAGTTTTTTAACACTTGCCCACTACTGACCAGAAGGTAGGAAGGGAGGAGGAGACAGTATGATTAGAAAGAGAACAGGCTTACACAGACAGAACATCTTGTTTTGAGAAATGAATTGAGTAACCGCATTTTTTCCACATTGGATCACTTGCTCCCTAGCCAGGACACTGAGGTGGCTCAAGTTCTGCTGTTACTGAAGGCTACACTACAGAACCTACTAAGGGTATGGGGTGGGGGAGGGCGAGGGGGTCATCGGAGGAGCCCTGGCTGCTGGAATGATGACCCAACGACCCACTCTGGAAATGCCAACTGGAAGAAGGTCTCTCTTCACCTTCTGAGCCTGGTCCTTCTGGTCACCTTCTGTTACCAATCGGAGCTATCCACGGACACACAGAAGAGGATGAAAAACAGTCAGCAAACACCTCTGGAAGCGTCAACCACAGAGTGAGCCGTATTTCTCATCAGCAGGGTGCACAGTCAGAAAGGAATGCCCGCCCACGAAGACTCCCAGCTCTTCTGGCTCTCAAGATGGCCTAACAGCTCAAAGAGATTTACCAATCAAAATAACACAATTCTCTAGGCAAGAAAGTGAGAAAATCAACCTACTCACTGACCACAGCCTGGAGCACTGAGGGTTATCCAGTTTGCCTCCAGGAAACAACAACGACTCCGCCACTACGTCGGAGGCACGAGGCACGTCTCTTCCTGCGGCTTCCCCAGAGACACTGCCTCACAGGCTTGCGGAGGGACAGCCATGGAGTTCTCCCAGCAACCCCAGGCACTTGTTTCTTGCAGCACAGAGAGGAGGAGCACTTTGCTGAGGCAAGAAGTGTGTCTCCCCGCCGCCCTGCCCCCACCTCAAGGGCTCTCCACCTCAGTGCTGCACACTTCATCCCAGCAACCCTCAGCTCTTCCTTGTCCAGTTTCCACGGTGCCACCCATTCTCCATAAGCAGCCCGAGTGATTTTTTAAACAACAGCTTTATTGATAGATACTTCACATACCATAAGATTCACCCTCTTAAAGCGTACAATTCAGTGTTTTTAGTAGATATACAGAATGGCAGACACCATCCCTATCTAATTTTAGAAGATATTTACCATCCCTGCACTCATCAAAGTCACTTCCCATTTCCCCTCTCCCCCAAGTCACCGGCAACCACTAATTTACTTTTGTCTCTGTGTTTCTGCCTCTTCTGGACATCCCATACAAATGCAGTCATGCCGTGTGTGGTCTTTTGTAATTGGCTTTTTTTCTCTTAGAATAAGGTTTTTCAAGGTATATCTGTGGTACAGCATTATTTCGGGACTTCATTCCTTTTTAATGCCAAACAGTATTTCATATGGAGATACCACATTTTATTTGTCTGTTGGTCACATGGTGGATACTTGGACTTCTTGGCTACTATGAATAATGCTGCCATGAACATTCATGATACGGTTTTCCGTGGAAAGGTTTTCTATTCTCTTAGGTGTATACCCATGAGTGGTATTGCTAGGTCACAGGTAACTCCATGTTTAACATTTTGAGTAACTTCCAAACTGTTTCCAAAGTGGCTACACCATTTCACCATCTCACTAGCAATGTCTGAGAGCTCCAATTCCTCCACATTCTCGCCAATACTTGTTACTGCCTTTTGATGATACCATACCCACGGGTGTGAAGTGGTATCTCCTTGTGGCTTTAACTTGCATTTCCCTAATGGCTAATGATGTAGAGGAGCTTTTCCAGTGCTTATTGGCCTTTTATATATCTTCTTTGGAGAAATGTCTATTCAAACTCTTTGCCCATTTTTTAACTGGGTTGTCTTTTTCATTGTTGAGTTGAATTCTGGATACAAGTGCAAGTGACTTTTTAAAAGTAAACCAGATCTTGTCACTCCCCTACAGAGTGCCCTCTAACGATTCCCCACTATGTTTAGAATAACATCCAAAGTCTCACTCTGGCTTTTGGGGTCCTACCGGGTTTTGCCACTTTCCTCCTCGCACAGTGCATTCCAGTAGGAGCAGGCTTCTCTCTGCCCCTGAAACACATTCGTTCATTCATGTCTTAGCACCACGGTATGTGTGTCCCCTCCCTGCTTGAAATTCTCTTTCTTGTCATTCAATTCAAATGTCACCCTTTCAGACAAATTTTCCTGAAAAGAAACTGTATCTAAAGAATCTCCCCCCTCCACCAAGAGGAACAAGGAAACTTTTGGGCATGATGGATATGCTCATGATCTCGACTATGGTTATGGCTTCATGGATGTACATATATATTGAAACTTTTCAAATGGCATACTTTAAATATGTGCCATTTGTTTCACTTCAATTACACTTCAATAAAGCTATTAAACAAAAACTCCCTTCACGATCACTCCTCCACTGCCACTGCTTCATCATACTTGATTCCTGAGGAGAAACTGACGATCGGAAATCACCTTGTTTATTTCTTGATTTCAGTGCTTATCAACCATCTCATCCCACTAGAACAAAAGTTCCAGGAGGGCTGAAATGTTTTTCATCTTTGTAACTGCTGTATTCTCAGCTTGGCTCACAATTAAGTGCTCAATAAATATTGGGCGCCCTGAACGAGTGAAATTGACAGAGGTTTAGAAAAGAGACTGACAGGGCGCCTGGGTGGCTCAGTTGGTTAAGCGACTGCCTTCAGCTCGGGTCATGATCCCAGGGTCCTGGGATCGAGTCCCGCATCGGGC